ACTAAAAAGCAAAGGAAAACAACTTCAACTAAATACATAAATTTCCATAATTTTATAATAAAAATAAATTTATGTTTCATGGTTACATCAATAAAATTCCTTAGTAAAATTGAATTAATTTAAAATAGATTCTAAGTCAATACAAATTTCTTATCCACCAACAGACAAAAATGTTCGAGTACCATCAACATAGAAAGTGGGAGGCATTAATATAATAAAATTGAAACAACTAATTTCACTATTTGGGCTAATACGCAAGTCAAGTACAATAAAATATACAGTATTATACCATTAGATAAAATACAATAAGATATATTTCGAAAATTAATATAAAAAAAATGTATCAACCGGCACTAATGTCAGAAGAGTTATATAAGCACTGCATTCATGTGTAAAATGTTAGTATTGGTAAAATCGACATCGTAAATGATCTTGTAAGTCATAACTCAAGTCCAGAGGGTAATAACTTAAGTCGACAAGCTACTCTTAGAACCATTTAGGATAGATTCATAAGTTTTAACATCGGAAATCTTAAAAACTATCATAAACCATATAAATGAGTCTACGGTTATAGGATTCCTCCAATACCAGAAATTCCGAAATTTGTTGTAGTAGAATTTAACAAATGATTCTAATAGATCATAATAATCAACAAGTCAATAAAACCTAACATATAGTTTATCCTAACCTCCAAAAGCACTTAAATCAATCCAAACGAAGAACAACGAAATGTATAACCACACAACAAGAAAAGATGCGAAATCGTAAAAAGTTCACCGAAATCAGTCATCCAAAAATAACTGTACACGAAAAAACCTGTTCGTATGATCAAAACCTTTTCGTGTTGTCATCATCTTTAATTGGTTGTTAATGAGAGTCCTAACAAGAGTTTGGCAAAAAGAGAATTCGGCATTATTCAAAAGACGTATACAATACGCGTCATAAGTGCCATTTTTTAAAAATTTTAATTTTTTGTTAACCCAAATAATTTAGCATAAACAATAGTTTATCACTTTAGTTTTTCCGGAAAATAGGAGAGCTTTGTGTTTTTAAATGGAACACCATATATTAACTTAAAAAATACAAATTTAATAATAGCCCACATTATACTAATTAATAAAAATTAGCGAAAACTGTGCGGCACGCAACTTTTAAAGGATGCCCTACCCTTTTAGATTTCTCGCAACCAATAAAAAAAATCTCAACCCTAAAAGTGGCGACAGTGTTATAGTTTTACAGAGCGATCGTCAGATATCATAGAGCTAGCTATCACTGTCTTGGGCATAGAATATTTTACGCATTATATTGAAAGGAAAATGTTAAAAGTAAAAGAAAATCAATCAAAAATAAGTAGACTAAAAATAGAGATAATGACAGCAGTTTGGGATTGATAGGCGATGTTATTGTAAAACTTTTGGAGTACTACCCGAACAAAGGCCATTCATTTTACAGTGACAACTACTACACAAGTAATTTTTGGCAATTTTTCCAAATTATTAAAAAATTAAAAAATTATTTTTCCTTTCACATGGCAATTTTTGAAAAAAAAAAAAGCTGAAGAAAGGAAAAACAGAGTGGCCTACTAAGCAAATACTAACATTGAAATGGAGATGTCGTCGTGACGTGGTATTGCTTACCACCTTTCACGAAAATAAAATGATTACGCCCTCTAAGATTGATACGCCATTGAAAATAGGACCAAACCATTATGTGTACCGGCTTACAATGAAAGAATGGGAGCAATTGACAGAAGTAACATGATGTTTAGCACAAATTATTTATCCATACACTGGAGATGTATGCGTGCTGAATGCCGATACTTAATATAAGGCCCAGAATGTCAGTAACATCTTGTTTCCTGAATCCCATTTAGAATTCCGGCAGCTTCTCGAAAGATATTTTTATTCTTTTGTTTTTGTATTTTCTTTTAATCGTAAGCATTTTTCGAATATTTAACGAAGTACAAAATGAAACAAAACGTGCAATCTACTACCATGGTCAGACTATCAGAAAAGAATTTCAATTCAGAAGTTCCTCGCAAAAATGGGAAAGCGTAAATAAAGAGACGCTGGGTTTGCTCTTATGCAACACACAGTGAAAAAAGAAAAGAATCGAAATTCATGTGCAAAAGATCTCTGTGTTGCACCATGATTTCAAATAAACTACAAATAGATCAAATATTAGTAAATACTAGCAGTAGAAACGGGGGAAAAAGGCTAGACTAGTGAAGGATCACACTTACATTAGGTGCACTAATAAGTTTTTGATCTCTTATATAAAAACACTTCTTTGTCATTTGTTTATTTTTGTTCTTATACTTTTGCTATACCAAAGGCTTTTAGTTAATTTTGTATTATTTGATTATATCTACAATAAAAAAAAAACTTTTTCCACAGTATCGTATATATTCGACAGACGGCTGTTTGCCGCTCCAAAAACTGCCGTCCGTGTAGCACGCAACCTACTTTTGGGTTCCGACCTAAAAAAATTCAATCTTGAAATGTAACATGCAAAAAATGTTCTCTCTACACCACTGTATTATCGATAAAAAGTCTACTGCATCTTCATCATCATGTTCCATCTTTGGTAATAAGCGAGAGATTCGTGTTTGTTGTTTTCGCGAAATTTCGACTTTTTGATAAAAGCGCGAAAACAGAAAACGATAGCGATTTAGACATTTTTGCATTTTTTTGCAAAAAAAAATGAGATCACGAGATGTAAACTACCTTTTTTTCTATTTCTTTTAGATTCTGAGATAGCCTATGATGGCATCGAACCCATTTGAAGTATAACCAATTTCTAAATTAACTCGATTGCATCCACTGATGGATTTAAAATACCCAAGTGCCATATAAGTATACGAGATAGTTGAGGGTAGAAAAATCCACTTAAATCTTTAACATATCGGGATTACAACATGCTGAGAAAAAATGACTATTTCTTTTTTTCAAATATCTCTATTTCTCTCTCAATTTAGTTTTCGTACGTATTTTTTATTCATTAACCTTGGATTTGATCTTTTAATGTAAATACGAACGCATCCAATGCGTATCCAAAATAAAGTGTTTTGGAAGTCTTTCTGGATGTAACATATCAGTTGATGGTTGGTCTAACGTACGTAATGACCCGATACTGTGTGCCACAATAACTACTGAAGATGGAAACGCATTCTTATATGAAACAATAGATACATCTGACAACCCCCATACAAGCGATTACTTAACAAAAATTGCTTATGGAATAATTTCATCTTGTAAAGCGAAATATAATTGTAATGAAACGCCATTTGTGACTAATATGCTACGAATATGACAGGTATGAGAAGACATAGATCATAAGCTTAAGCTTTAGTGGTTCTGTTATAACTTATAGATGCCCAGCTCACGTTCTAAATTTGCTTTGCAAAGACCTTGAAGTAACTAAAGTCAAAGAGCATGTGATCCACATTGAGAATATTTTAAGAAATAATCACCTGGCTAGATCTAAGTATATGGCTTGTAGATACTGATGGAAAACTTTTAAACGATGTGAGGTGGAACAGTATGGTGGATTGTCTGCAAATACATGTAAGTCAATGGAAAAAACTGTCAAAAGTATGTGAAGAAAATAAAAAAGAAATTGATCCTAAAACATATACCAAAAAATATCTAATATTGATCCCAAACGATCTTAAATATCTTAAAGCCAATATCCCAGGGACTTGACAAATTGCAAAAATTTACCTTTTTTGGTATATTTTATATTCTTTTTTTTATTTTTTTTATATATAGAGAAGCCTATATGATGCTGGAGAAATATGGAAGAAAATAAGAAGTTCATTTGATGAAAAATTGGAATTATCACTGTCTCAAATACAAGTTTATCAGAAATGTTATAAACAGGCACTTACGCCTTATCATTTAATTGTATTTATTTTAGATGTAACTAAAACAAAACATAAATTGACGATGGAAGAAAAAGACGAAGCTATAAACACACTTAGAGATACTTAGCTAATATTGGATTACTACCACTAATAGTTAAGCTAGAGGTGAAAATGAAACCATTTTCTGCATCCATTAATACTGCTTTGCAGAGATGGATTTTATAAAAGAACCTTTCTGATATTGAGAAACTTCTTCCAACATTAAAGCAATTTTTATGTGTTGTTTATTCTTTAGCTTCAATAGAGAGGGTTCTTCACACACCAATGTGTGCAAGACATGAGGAGTGGAAAAAACCAGAAAATTATTTGTTGTCATTTTTCTTTTGATTTAAATTATTGATTTCTGGATTGCAATTCCTGCATACATAATATACACATTTTTATAACTTAAATTCAGTGAGATTTCAGAGAGGATCAGAAGGTGTCGAAAATATTTCAACATGAAAAAATTATACTCAATTTCGAACACAATTTGCTGCTTGGGCAACCAACCAACCGACAGTCAATCCTCCATACAAATTGGCGTTTAAAGATTATTTGGAATTTTTCCATGATCGTAACAATATCACAATTGATGTGCCATAAATATAATACTACAAACAATGACAAATTCATCTACAAATAAATTGGTTATTTTCGTTGATTATTATAGTTTTAAAATAATAACATATATAAAACATAGTAAGGAAAGAAGTCATAAATAAATATCAAAAATCAATGCAGGATTTTGAATATTAATAATCTTTTTCATAATTTCTTCTCTTCCATCATAAAGAATGATGTCAATACGAATTTTAATATCCCAGAAATCATGAATTTTAAAGATTTTTAAGAATGATAAATTTGTAAATTCAATTTAACTCTTCTAAGATATCGATTTAAGTAAAATTGTAAACAATAAATTTAATAAATCACGCTTCAATATAAATTCTAATCATAAAAAATCATATCAGTTATGTGACGAGCTCATCGCACAAACAGATGATTAATTTCCCTTTCCATTAGCTTTCCTTTTCAATTAAAATGAAAATTAGAACGATAAATTTTAAAAGAAAATAATAATTTAAATACTTACAATCTAAATGTTTCTTCTTGGGTCCTATCATTTCTTCGGTGGTTGCTTTACAAACGGATTTTGCCAGTCCTTGTCCGGCAATGCTGTGCCTGGCCGCAAGGATCCTATCGTTGAGAGTCTGTCCAGCCATTCTACCAGTCATTTTGACACCTTAAAACGATTGTCGGGGTCACTGTTAACAGAAAGAACCAAAACGCACCCTCTCTCACAGTTTGTAATTTTCGAAACACCTGTACGATTTTTAACGCCCCTTCTTTGTACCGCCCGATTATAAAATGGAATTTATACGACAACGACCGCACCGGATAAGCGCAATCGTACAACTGTCCGCTCGTCGTAGTCCCGACTCGAAAAACGACACAGAACCGATCCCCACAATCGTGCTACAACCCAACCAGCTTGACTTTTTAAAGACCGAACCCAAACGTGATTATACGATCTCAAATCTTTCAGTTTTGTCGACTTATTCATTAACGATAATTAAAATTTGGTGTTATTTTTATATTTGTGTAATCGATTTGTTAGAGGAGAACACGCGCTGGGTTTAAATGTACTTACGAATTTCCAAATCATCTATTTCCCCATAAACATTGTCATAAACATTCATTTAAATAAAACGATTTCGTTTAAAATCTTTTTAAAGAATGAATATAAACGATAAATAACATATTTTCAACTAAATAAATGAGGTTAATTTAAAATTTTCTTTTTGACAGTTGTTTTAAATAAAATGTCACTGTCAAAAATATAACCTCACCGCTCATTTCGCGTCATTAAATCACCGAGTAAAAAACGTTTAAATTCTCAGTAAAAAAAATTGTAAAATAGTAAAAGCCATGCCGGTTAAGTTGAAATTGTATTTAGCACGTAAGGTGAGTATTAGTTAATTTATTATTTATTGAAAAATATCTTGAAAAAAAAATAGGTGATGTGATAGTTTGAAATGACACCAATAGATGGCGCATTCAACTAAATACAATTTTTTTAATATTTATTTATTTATTCTTTATTTAATATATTTATTACATTAATTAATTAATATATTTATTATATTAATTAATTAATATTTATAATTATATAAATCGAATAAAAAATTGTTTGTCAATCTTAAGTATTTCCGGTAGATGGCCCCACTATATCTGTCAATTTTCCAAAAATTTTAAATTTTTCTCAAATTTTTAAATTTACTTAAATTATGTTTTTTTTTTAGATTATAGACAGTTTAAAAAAGAAAAATCCAACATTTTCGGCATTAGAATTAAAGCCATTATTCTCAGTAAGTAATAACACGGAATCGTCAATACAAATGGAAATATCATTAACTAAAATGGAAAATTTCTTTGGAATATCAAACGCAAGCGAAATCTTAAGAATAGAACCCGATGAAATTATAACAAAAGTAACAACAGTAAAAGATAGAGCAAACCGAAAAATTTGTTTTAATATAAACCCCAACATATTTTTCAAAGAAGTCATTGATCACGGTGGAGCTCCCGATATGCATGCTGATCAAAAGAACGTTGTTGTTGAATTTAGTTCCCCAAATATTGCAAAACCATTTCACGCTGGTCATTTAAGATCAACAATTATAGGAAATTTCGTTTCGAATTTAAATGCGTACATGAATAATAAAGTAACTAGGATTAATTATTTAGGAGATTGGGGGACACAATTTGGGTTGATTAAAGTTGGCGTTAAAGAACTAAATTTATCTGAAAATGATATTAAACAAAATCCAATTCAATTATTGTATGAATCGTACGTTCACGCGAATGCATTAGCGAGTAAAAACGACGAAATTAATAAAAGAGCTCGAGAAGAATTTTTAAAATTAGAAAAAGGTTCCGTCGAAGACGTAAATTCATGGCAAACGTACATTAATTTCACCATTTCCGAGTTAAAAGGTATCTATGATCGACTTGGAGTACATTTTGACGAATACAATTATGAATCGATGTATGGGGCCAAACAAATTAAAGAAGTTGTTGATCAAATGCACAAAAGAAAAGTTGTTAAAGTGACTCACGACGGAAAAACGGTCGCTAATATTCAAGATAGAAGTGTGACTGTTATGAAAAGTGATGGAAGCACTTTATACATTACAAGAGATATTGCAGCTGCTATGGATAGATTTAAAAAGTACGAATTCCATAAGATGTATTATGTCGTTGAAAACGGACAAAACGATCATTTTAATGCACTTAAAGATATTTTATATCAAATGGATTTACCTTGGGCTGGACGGCTTAAACATGTTAAATTTGGAAGGGTTCGTGGGATGAGTACAAGAAAAGGAAATGTGGTATTTCTTAAGGATATTTTAGATGAAACCAAAGAACTTATGACTCAAAGACAATTAAATTCACCAAGTGAGTTGATAGTTAAGAAACGGTCTCAAAAATATTGAACAAAAATAAAAAAGATCAAAAAAAATCAAAAAGAATTCAGATTAAAGTTAAGTTAGGATTCAAATTAATGAGTGCGGTTAGTTTGATGTTTGACAATGATTAAAATTGTTAAACTTTACTTTTCTACCATATTTCTGAGGCATAAATTTCTTCTTGAATTCAAAAATCAATACACTGGTTATTATAAAGGATATTATCATAGCTGTATTGTTTTGAAAATGTATATATACTTATTATTAGAGCATTACATCATATTACATAGCGGGTAGGCGGACCAAGCAATCTTGCCGCCACCCCGATAGATACCGCAAATTTCACCGTGCAGTCCAATGCTCTTCACGAACATTAATACCTTGCTCGGTGAAAACTAATTCAAATCCTTTTGGGAGATAAACTGCGACCCAAAAATCGAGAATGTGATACGATTAATAGCAGGGCAGTGGCACAAAACATTTCTCAACCATCTTCTCGTCCTCCACACATAGTCGACATTCAAGGGAGTTCCAGGAGAACTGGTCCACGGTAGGCGAAGTATCTCTTCAGCCCAACCCTATGTCTGGCTATCGCAAATAATACAACAACTGCTAGCTCTAGCCCCACAAACGCTTTAGCGCTGCCCTCTCGTGCTAGCTCATCTGCCGCTTCATTGCCAGCAACACCAGAGTGACATCAAAGAAAGTCTATAATCACAACTCAGTGTGTTTAATGTTCTTATAGTCATTAACCAGAGCCACAGTTTTCACGGCCTGCAGCGCCTGGAGAGCGGTTTGACTGTCTGAGAAATCGTACTGTCATGTGCAAATACTTCCGCCTCGAATAACAGTACTGGTGCATGGCAGTATACTCTTACCCCGATCCCTTCCGGCGGTTTTGATCCATCTGTGAACATGCAAATATCTGCCTGAAGCAAAGAATTATCATTTTCGAACCTGCTAGTCGTAGTGATCCCGCCAAATCTGACGGATTGTTAGAGTAACTTATCAAGTTGTTTTAAGATTCTACGTGGCTCATATGATTCTGCTGATATTAATTCTCTAATGAAGTTCTTCTCGACGTAACATGTCTCCATCAATTTATTCAAAGGCATTCATGATGTTTGCTTGCAATTCTTACATGTTTGATGACTCATTTTTGTCAAGGATTACACTGTTTTTTAAAGTAGAATCAATCATCAATCTGAAAATGTTCATGAAAGGCAAATGAAAAATTAATTCAGGTTTTTGTACTGTAAATCTGTTTTAGCATAAAGTTGTCACCAACTTTTTTAAAGAACTCGCCCATCATCAATTGTCGTTCTCTCAGTACTGAGAATCGTGATTATTAACAACTTATGTCATCAGTACTCTCCATTAAGTTCGGTTTCGGTCATTATTAACAGAGCAGTAAAATGAAGTGCCGATAATCTTTTGAATCTGATTTCTTCTACGTTTCCCGATACTATCAACCTCTCTACATCATCATATCTTCGAGAAATCGGTCTAAAAAATCTCAGGAAATTCGCAAGACAAATAGAAGATGGTCTATTCTGTTCAATTCTCTAAGGATCGATTCCTTCGATCTGCGCGCTGGCCACGGAATTCGGAGCATGTGCTTCCAGTACCACATTTCAAACGTATCAATTTTCTTCCTGTCCGCTGCTTTAATTGTCCACGTTTCAGCTCTATGTCGGAAAATGGAGAAGATCAGTGAATAAACTAGCCCCATTTTGGTACCTTTTGTCTTTCCAGATCTTAGATAGCCCACTCATTGCACTTTTAGCCAGTATTCTTCTTCACATGTCCCTATCACTTAAACCTATGTTATTAATATATGAGCCTAGGTACATGATCTAGTCTACGACGTTAATCTTAAGGCAATATTTATTACTCCCAGTCTCAACTTGGATTAGATGATCACCATTTCCTCTTCTAATGCAGCTATCAAAATTGTATTTTCTTGCCCGCAATTGAGATCTCTCCATTAAATTCGTGCAATGCCTTTGTCATTATGTATTCTACATAGATATTAGAGAGATGTGAAGAGAGTATACATCCCTAGCGAACACCCCTTCTGCTTTAGAGTGCAAAGAGCGTCGGTTCTTTATTCGCGGCGCAGTATTAAAGCTTTCTAGTTTGATTTTTAACTGAAACCACGTTTTTAACTTAAACATTGTTTCATTTATAGTACTCAAATGACTACCAATTCTTCTAATTCATCCCACTCTTCATTCGATAACAGACGATTGAGATGCTTATTCTAACATCCTGGTAATGTAAGAGTTTTTCTAACCTTGCAAATGTGGAAGCTTGTTGCAACATATAGGGGATTGGTATTTGCCTAACATTAGGATTCGCAAAGGTTGCCTAAGTGGATGCTGAAACATAATGAATCATATATGAAACAAAGATTCTTTACACTTGAGTTCGTTGTAAGCGTTTCTATCGCTTTTGGTATGTTGCGGCCGTTATGAGTAGACAATGTAGACATGGTATACTATATTTGCTTCTTCGAAATATAGAAATTAAGCAAAATTGCCTCCATCTCTTCTATTTGATGTTTTTCTTAATTGTTAGATTGTTGCTCCAACTCGTTAATAATTTATTAAAATTTCTTCATTTGGTGTGTTATTCTTCAGCATGTTATACTTAATGAGGCTGAAAATTAAAATATGTGCTGTTTTATTTTGTCATTTTATTACGTTGTCCTACAAAAAATTAGTATTATTAGTAAATTAGTATTCAAACTTGTTATTACTACAATAAGTAAAAAAAATACTTAAATTATTGTAATTAAAATTAATATAATTTTTAGCAACGAAGGTTCCAATAACAGATACAAGAACATCAGATATTTTGGGTGTTTCATGTGTAATAATAAACGATTTAAAACAACGAAGACAAAAGGACTATGAATTCAGTTGGGAAAGAGCACTACAAGTACTAATTAAAATTTTTTTTATTCTAAAAAAAATAATGTTAATTTCTTAGGTTCAAGGAGATGGTGGCATAAAATTACAATACACCCACTCAAGGTTATGCAATTTAGAAAAGAATTCTGGAGGGGTAGCTGCTAAAGAATGTAATCCTGAATACTTAAAAGAACCAGTTATAATGGATTTAGTTAAAGAAATGGGGAAATTTAATGATGTAATAAGTAGGTCTGAAGAGCAATTAGAAGCTTGTATTTTGGTTACATATCTATTCCATTTATGGTAAATTGTTTTATTATTCTTTAACGTTATTTTACATGTGATTTTTTGTAGTAACCATATAAATAAAGCTTTGAAAGTGCTGCAAGTTAAAAATCAAACTCCAGAAATTGCTGCTCAACGATTATTACTTTTTAATACTTCCAGAACAATACTACGACAGGGTATGTTGATCTTAGGATTAAAACCACTTACTGAAATGTAATGTAAAAAAATCATGTGACATGAAATAAAATAGACAACTTTATATAGAAATTGTTATATAAAAATTATTGTTTTTTATCTTACGAAATGTTTTATTTTTCATTTTAACTCCATTCTCAACAAATTAGAAATTAAATTAACGTTTCTTCCATGTGAATTTTTTCCTAGCACCAGCTTGACCTGGCTTCTTCCTTTCTCTTGTTCTAAAATCTCTTTGTAAAAGACCAGCTAAAAAAATATATTAAAATAAGAATATTTTTCAATTTTGTTTTTTATTTACCCAATCTCATCTTTTCAATCATTTCGGGTTCCACAAAACTTCTAAGCCCCATAGCTAATCCCCATCTTATTGCTCCTGCTTGTCCTGATGGTCCTCCACCTTCAACGTGTGCTTCTATGTCTACTTTATTCAACATGTTTGTGAAAATCAATGGAAATAGTAACTAAAACAAAATTATTTTGTTAAATTTTTTAATGTAACATAATTGTGATTCAAAATAATGTTGAATTGAAATCAAGTGTTTATAATCAACCTATTTTAATAATAAGATTACAACTAACGCTAGTAATGATAATGGTGATACATTCTGAGTGCCTTTGAGAGCACACGATAATCCATGATAGATTATATCATTACCAACTGACATTTAATAACCACTCACTAGTACTCTTTAATAGAAGCATAAAATCTTAATTAAAATGGAAGACCAACCTTGAATATATTAAAAAACTCAATTTATAGCTATAATAGTCCATACCATACGAAATGCGAATGACACACCGTTTGAAAACGAAAGTAATATCGTAGCCATTCACAGCCAACCAGAAGATAAGGCGGCTAAAGAAATTGGACTGGGAGGGTGGCGCATGCTAAGGAACAGAAAGGCAAACGTAAACGAAATTGTAAAAATAGACCCCATAGATAAACAATAAAAAATAGGAAGAATAATTTAAAAACCTGTACAAAGAGGTAGCACATAGCTCACCCCATTCCACGAAAAATTGGAATGAAAATGTACAAATCACAGCGGATGACATACAAAGAACACTGAAAAATACTGAAGACCAGAAAAGCTCTTGGAAACGATGATATAAAAAATGAATTTTTGAATTACGGAGGGAAGTATCTCTCTGAAGGAATAACAAAATCGAAATTGATGTTGTGATCCATGTTAACCAGTAATCAGAATGTCATTTAAAGGATTATAAATAATTATTTTGCACTTTAACTGGTTAATTAAATATATTGATTTGAATATTAAGTTCTAATTTGACATGTTTCGCTTAAACAATGTAAGCATCTTCAGAAAAATGAACTTTGTTAAAGTTGAAAAGTTATTCGAATAAATTCTAATTCACAATTCGTCGAACGAATAAAATAATGAGAACAATCACAAATTCATTATGTACTGGAGGAAATTGAGTGTATAAATGTCAAGTAACAAATTAAGAAAGCAGCACAGGTATCCGGACACGTGAGAGATATCACTTGGAAAACTAAATTATTACAACAGACAGCAAAGTAAGAATATATAAGACCATGTTAAGACCAATAATGACGTATCCACGTAAACAAAACTGAACAACTACGATGAGCACTTTAACGATAATGGGAAAGACAAGAAGATATAAAGTTAGCAACAGGGCTATAAGGGAAGAATGTGGAATTCGAGATATCGTGAGATCCGTTAGGTGAAGAGAAGAAAATAGAATGGACACATCCAAAGAGTGGAAGAGACCAGGTTGATCGAGATAGCTAGAGACAAAATCCAGCCGGAAGACGAGATCTCTTAGAAACATCGTGAATACAATCTAAATAAAAGAAGAAGAAAGACAGAATTTATAAGGATATACAGAGATTTTAATTTTTCATTTTAAGGATATTACGAAGTCATGGAATGTATCACAGTTCATTTATCATCACCATCAAACAGCTTTACATGTATTTACATGTTTGTCCACTACTAAATGTAATCCTCTCCTGTAAACCTTAAGGCCTTAAATGCTCTTTTTAGGTGAAGCTCTCTTTTGATTTTCATGAATTTCTTTATATTTCTAAAGATATTCTCAGACTTTTATGAATTTTTGGACGATTTCCAATGTAGGCAATCTATGAATTTCAGTCTATTTTCTGAGATATTTAAGAACATCAGAACTTCATGTGAGTTATTTGATTTTCAGAACATTGTGAAAAGTTTTCAAACACTTGTACAGACTTTTCTACTACTTTGAAATATCTCTAATTTTATAGAATTTATTGTGTATTTATGCTGATTTATTTTATATAAAAAGAAAATTTGCAACGATATTCGGGTACCTTTAAGAATGTATCACAGATTTTTGGGCTTATATGATTTTCAGCGATTTCCTAAGGTTTTTATGGATTTCCAAGGCAATCCAGGAATTTATGGATTCTCCCTAATATCTAAGAATTTCTGGAAATTATTGGATCGTAGCAGGGTTACTTTATCCAAAGACAGAATATCCAAATATTTCCGTTGTTGTATAAGTATTATCTGGAATTTCTATGGAATGTTCACAGGATTACACTAAGATATCTGAGGATTTCTGGAAATTATTTATAAAAGTATAAGGATTTCTTGTTTCTTCTTGCATTTAAAAAGGAAATTTCCATGGCTTTCTGCGGATTTCCTGAGATATTGTTGGATTGCTTAACATCTCAAAGGATTTCCAATTATGTTCTTATAACTCTCAGAAATTCCTCAGACCTCTAGATTTCTGAAAATTATTTATGCTATATCACAATTCTCATTTGCTTTATTTAAAGAGGTTCTCTTTATTTCATAGTTTTCTACGAATTTCCTGGAATATTGTAGGATTGCTTAAAATGTAGAAGGATTTTCTGGTATTTTCTTAGGTATATCTCTAACAATAAGTATTTGCTCAGATTTTTATGGATTTTCGGAGGATTGCAGCAGTAGACAATCTAAGAGTTTTAATGGATATCTAAACATTGTAGAGTTTGTAGATTTGTAAACATTGTAGATTTTACATATCAGAATATATTATATCATGAAGAAAATTTCCTTGATTTTCTATGGATTTTTAAAGTTATGTAGAGATTTTAGAATTTATTTAGATTTATTTGGAATTACTTTATATAAGAGAAAATTTGCAAGGATAGCTTAGTATTTCTAAGGTTGTATTAAGGATTTTTGTACTTATATGCGATGTATTACGATTTATTTTATGTAGAGATAATTTTTAAGGATTTAATGAGGATTTCTAAGAGAACTGGAAAGCAAAGATAGAGATGTGGGAATGCAAGAGGGAAGGACTGAGATAAGGAAGAGTAGATATAACAACCAAACCAAAATACGGTGAGATTGTAACAGAAGGGTTACCGATATATTTGATGACGCAGGAGAATGAGGAGGAGAAAAGTAGTTAGTGGCCAGATTTAGGTGTGGTAACGAAGAAAGGGTCAACGAATATTGGATGGAGGATGAGGAGAGGGGGTGTAGACGTGTGGGGAGGTCTTGGAGTTTTTAAACCATCTGCTGGTAGAGTGTATATTTTTGAAGCGATGTGCCAGGGTGGTTATCTCACCGATTTCGATAAAACTTAGCACAGGCCTAGTATGGATCAAATAAACGTTGATGTGCTTTTTGGTAAATGCAGAAAAAGCCCCAGAGGCAAGATAAACCCTTATATCAAAAAGTTATTATAAATAACTTTTTATAAAAACCCTTATATAAATAAACCCTTATTATAAAAAGTTGGCATAAAAGTTATATCTTCGTTTACATCTCCAACCGATGAAGTGATATTGATAAGTTACGCATACTGACTAATTATTTTCGTTCTATTGGTACGTTTCACTTAGGTCAGAGGGTTATAGGATAACTTAAAAACTATTCTGTCAGTGTCTATGGCATTTTGCAAGTTCAATATTATTGATTTCCGTTTATTCAAAAAAACTACTCCGAATTTCTGGCGATTATTAATACAAAAATGATAAGAGTTTTTTGCAATACGAAAGTCCTCTTTATGTTCTATCCGTATTTTCTATATACAACATAAATCTATAAATAAGGTTAAGATGTGTTTTCTAAATGAAACAATTTTATAATCTACAACATAAAAACAAATAATATCTTTTATTTGATAATCTCTAGGTCAAGCGTAAACAGAGCTGATATTGTTCCGTTACTCTTAATTATACCTAAACAAGCGAAAAAGCTTATAATTTCCATTGACAAATAAGACTGTGTTGCAAAGTTACGATGACCACACCAATTAAATTCGCGTTGTTTTCAAAAAAATTAACAAATCTTATTAAAACTTGTAAATTTAAATTGAATTATTCAACTAGTAGTGTATTGTTAAATAAAAATGAGTTTAAGAATATTTGGGTTGGGCCTGAACTTCAAAAACCAGTTCCAACGATTTCGTTTGGAAAACAAATTTACGAAAGTTTATCGAATGCCAAAGATGAAGAAATCATGTTTGTAAGTTTACTTTTTTCATAATGTTTTAAAAATGCACATTTGAAAACGTCCTGTACACAGAAATTTTGAATTATCAAAGACTTTTTAATTTTAGATTGATGCTATTTCGGGAAAACGTACTACATACAAAGAATTTTTTAAACTATCATGTCGTTTAGCAAGAAGTTTAAAAAATTGTGGATATAAAACCGATGATGTTATTGGGATTTCTAGCGAAAATAGCGAATTTTATTTCATTCCGATAGTCGCAGCACTTTACTTAGGAACCATAACAGCTCCTTTTAATCAATTCTACACTAAAAGTAATAAAAGTTATTTTAAAGCTAAATTTATTTTTCATAATGTTGCAATGTTTTTAGGAGAATTAACTCATTTATTATCGATAACAGAACCAAAAATAATTTTTACCTCTAAAAAAGTGTTAAATTCGTTCCTCGAACAAAAACAAATTATAAATTCAATCGAAAAAATTATTGTTTTGGATTCAAAAACAAATATTGAAGGAACCGAAACGATGATGGAATTTATAAATAAACATTGCGAACCGGATTTTGATGAAAATAAGTTTAAACCGGTTGATGTTGATCCGTTGAATCATGTAGCAACCGTATTATGCTCATCAGGGACTACTGGTTTACCAAAAGGAGTTATGATTACTCATGATAACATCGCAACAAGACACAATCAATTAACGTTAGTAATTTGAATTTCTTTAATTGTTTTAATAAAAAATCTTTTTTTAGAGATACAAGATTAAGCGAATTAAACCATGAAACTCTTTGCGCTTGTTTGCCATTTTTTCACTCATTTGGATTTATGATGATCGCATCTGGAATTCCAAAACGAAGCACTTTCGTAATTATGCAAAGATTTGACGAAGAAGTATTCTTAAAAGCTATCAATGATTTCAAGATTAACGTCATCTATATTGTTCCACCAATTGCAAATTTTTTGGCAAGATCTCCATTACCATTAAATTACAATTTAAAAAGCTTGGAAGAAATTCTAGTAGGAGCAGCACCATTAAGCCAAGAAATTGAAGCAAAACTTTTTGAAAGGTTTTTAAAAATACATATTTTTTATTTGATAAATAAATAAATTGTTTTAGAAACCCCACCATAAAAAATTTGCGTCAAGGTTATGGTTTAACAGAGGGAACAATAACATTAACATTAATGAGAACAAAAGAAAGAAAACTTGGATCATCCGGAAAATTAGTTCCATCCGTTTCCGGATGTGTAAAAGACATAAAAACTGGTGAATTTTTAGGACCAAACCAAGTAGGAGAACTATGTTTTAAAGGCAAAATGGTCACAAAAGGTTATTACAAAAATCCAGAAGCTACAAAATTAGCCTATAAAGATGGTTGGCTTCATACTGGCGATATTGGTTATTTTGATGAAGAAGGATTTATATTTATTGTTGATCGACTTAAAGAACTAATTAAGTACAAAGCTTTTCAAGTTCCCCCAGCGGAAATCGAAGGAATTTTATTAACACATCCAGGAATTAAAGATGTGGGGGTTGTTGGAAAACCAGATGCGATTGCAGGAGAATTACCAACGGCTTTTGTCGTTCGAAATCCGGGGAAGGAAGTTAGCGAACAAGAAATTGTTGATTTTGTCGCTAGGGAAGTATCGAAACCGAAACAGTTACATGGTGGAGTTTATTTTGTTGATTCTATACCGAAAACTGCTAGCGGAAAAATAATGAGGAGAGTGTTGAAGGAAATGTTGATTAATAAAATTGAATAAAACCTTAAAAAAGTTTCTTAAAAAATTAACGTATCGGTACATTCTAAGATAAAGGTTTATGGAAAAATCCCTGAAACAGGTCTAAAGATTTAAATTTTTTCCGCCACTTTTAAATGAGTTATGTTATATCTGAATTTTGACTTTTCAACATTTTGAAAACCTATTTTCCATCAGAATAATGTCAGTCTCTTGTCATGATCGTTCCCATCTCCTAATCGAGCATGTCTGGGCCATGTAGGGTAAAGTTCCACGATACGAATGACATAGAGGTTGCTTGGGAAATAGAGGATACATTTGCTATCATGGGTGCCACGCAGAGTGTAGGAAATTACCGTTTCTGCCAACTTTGATCAAAAAAATCCTACTAGTTCTTGGTGTTGCAATTGCTGTCACTGACTAAATAAAATAATTTTCTTAGCCTCTATCAGCGAACCCTAATGGCCCCTCTTCACTATGGCTTATCATGGACCACTGCGAGCCATCGCCATTGTGTACAGGGGTGATGGCCTGAAGTGGCCATAAGTGGTGGATAATGGTGATGGTAATGCCAAAGGATGGCTTTGGGAGCGGTCGGCCGAAAACACATCAAAGGCCGCCATCATGCGCAGCTTAACCATTTCGGTCGTCAACAGCACCTGTTGCTTGGAGTGGTCCATTAGGCGGGCCATCTAGATACCATTGTGTGGAAGCAAACATGCTACCATCATCAATGGTGGCCATCCTAGCGACCATTCTAGTGGTCCATCATGAGCTATAGTGAAGAGGGGCCATAATAATTTCAGAAATCATGGTGTCAAACACAAGTTATAAAACTGATATGAAATCTATAAGCAATTCATTGTTAGATCAATTTCATTTCATTGCCCTCTCGGTTCTCGCACAAATGTGGTTTGCCACCAATAAATACATCAATCTTAAAAACCAAGGAAATGTTAATAAAGATTTGTCAAGTTTTAGGAATTTGAGTTAATTACTAAAAAATACGTAAAAAATCTGATGTATCATAACTTCCTGAAGCAAATATGATCCCTAGATATAATAAGTAAACCTTTTTTTTGTAAAATAGGGGAAATACCAGCACATGTGCATAACATATTCCTTTAAACTATTTACTTGTAACACCTGTGCGTTCTTTTTGTTAATGATGAATTAATGCTATAGAAAATTTTTGCAGTTTGAGATTCTAAATTATTAGCAGTATATACGATGAATCAATTAATAGTGACAACATTTAGTAAGCTACATAATATTGGCCATCGTTGTTATTTTTGATCACATACATAATTTATCAACAACGTCCATGCCTTCTTTACTACTATTATAGCATGTAAAAATCTCAAATGTATTGATCACTGAATCAAGAACTTTATTAAAGTTAAATTATTTAAATTAATTTTATTAAAGTTAATTGAAAAGAAAGATGACGTAAAAGTAGATATAGAGACAAGAAGTTATATAAAGATTGAAAAATTTAATATAAAAATTTCTGGTTGGAAAATATGGAACCTAGGAAACTGGACTAGTGATGATTTGGAAGAGTATTACTAATCTTGTATATACTATTTTCACAATTTCAGGTAGGTGTATTAAACCCGAGTTTTATTGAAAGTAATATGATAAAGGTGTGTGTAATGCATTTGTTTGATCATAAAATAACTGTGTTAAATAACAATGTTAAAGACAGTATTAATACAGATAAGCATAAAGGTAATATTCAAAGATCCTTTAAATTACGAAAACCCGTGGGATGTTGAAAATCATAAAGTTAGAAGAGGAATGATATATATCAAGAACAAGTTAAGTATTGTAATAAAACCTTTAAGAACGAAATATAAAATTAATACTTTCTGGCTGCTATAATTGAAATTCACGGCAGTTACAGCCCTGAGGAAACCTCTTTAATTATATTGAGTTATAATCAGAGTATATTAAGAAAAAATATTTTATTTTGTTGCTAAAATACATTATTTATTAAAGATTTTTAACATATATCCTTAAGATACAAAATATCACATAAGTATTTTTTAACTATAATTCTACAATATCCTACATTAAAACAATCAAAAATATATTGTTTGTTAGTTGTGTATAAAATACGCCAGAAAATCTTTATATGAGTATAACAAATTAACCTCGTGTTCTTTTTATAACGGTTTTTAAACGATAAAAACTTTTTTTATAACAAAATTTTAATACTATAAACCAATGCTATTCTATTTTGCATCTTTATGAATAAATATTGTTTTATTCAAATATTATAGTAGAATTTCTGGATTGAGCACTTATAGTAATGCTGATTAATTTTTATTGGTCTCTATCGCTCATCTTTATAGTAAATTGTGTTAATGATGAAGACATTTCGTACAAACGTCTTTGAAAGAAGAAAATCTTGTACAAGATTCATTTTCATCTTTTTTATCTTTTCCCATTGGAGTTATTCAAAAAACCACTCATAGATCGATCACGAAAGATAATTGAATAGATTGAGGAGTTATTCAAAAAGATGCAAATTAGCTTCTACTTACAGTAACTATGTAGAGACTAACACCGATATTTTATCTCAAAAAAGAAAATCAGTAACAGCCTATAATCCTCACGTTTTAATACTAACAATTACTGTTGGTATCTTCCTTATTAGAACTCGATGGTTCCATTGATTTTATAGTATCCAATAATATACTTTTTAGTTCTTTAATCTCATTAGTTAACAAATCAATCTTTTCGTTCGCTCTATCAACTGTAACTTGTAAATTATTTATATAATTGCTGTAATCAATTACCAAGTCAGTGGTTTCGATGCGATCGACATTATTGTTCATCCATTTCTTTTTGCCATAACTGGTAGCTGTACTACCATGCGAAGAAATGGTATGTCCGTAATGTTTTCTTTTTTTCGCAATTTCATGGGCGGATTTTAAAATGTCTCTAGGTAATCGTTTTTCCCTTGGATTTAACGGTTTAACATTTAAAACAACTCGATAAGCTTTAGGTGAAACCAAAGCTGTCCAATGTAATAAATTTAACATATAACTGGGAAGGTAACCATTAAATAAAGCTAATTCTATGTATGAGATTAACTTGGTTTGTCTGACTAGTTTTGATAAACCAGCCGTTTTTTGTAATCCCTGAATATCGTGTACTGCTATACCGACTAATAGGTTCATTAAAATTACAGTTACAAAGAAAAGAAATAGTATAAATGTGACTTGAGCACTAATTTCTAATAAAAATGGTGGGTCGTCGCTATCTTCTAATAAAAGATCTAAACTTAATTCACCAGTCATCATAACCATAACTGTTATTAAACCTATAAATGGATTTGCAAATGAAGAGGAATCAGGAAAGATTACACAAAAACTAATTGCGAAACCTATTAATAAACAAGAATAAGCTAATAGTAACTTTGCGAATTCACCTTGTACACGTGTGTACATTGCAACATAGGAACCAAAAATGGGAAGTTGACCAATCATCAACATTATATTTGTCCAACCAAAAAGTACGGCAAAAGCGCCAACATGATTTTGCCAAGTATAAGTCCTTCCCGTATAAATAAAAGAAATTACAAACACAGAGGCAATAACACTCCACTCCAATATATTTTCGGGATGAGATAAATATTGGCGAACAGTTGGATAACCAACAATCCCATAAATTTTTCGTAAAATCTCACAACCCGTTATACTAACCAAAACATACCATTGCATTTCAATTACAAAAGGATTATGTCTTAACATATGACCGAGCATTGATTTCTTTTCACATAATTCAAATAAATTTTGCGGTTGACTTTCATTCATATTCTTTCCTTGATTATAACAATTATGTGCTAAAGCGGTTAAAACATAAAGCGATAAACTTAAAACGAAAATAACACTAATTAACATTCGCGCGATATAATATTTGCGGATTTTTTCCCATTTCAAATATAAAAAAGCCGAGCATAAAGGATGGAGCAAAATCTCTTTTTGGCCCTCGTCAACAAAAGTATTCAAAAAATTAATTTCTTTCGGATGGGAATGTTGTAAAATACTCCTAAAATCTAATCGTAACTCAACTTCGCGATTTGACGATTCAGGATGATGATGTAAAGTTATCGCAGCGTCCAATTTCTGAGTAATCATTGCTAAAGAAGCTGGTGTTTTTCTTGTTATTATCCCTAAAGCTGTCATTCCAAATTTAGATTTCGCGGTTATATCAGCACCATGAAATATTAACACCTCAACACCTTGTGATAATTCGTTTAAAGCTGCAATGTGTAATGGTGTGTAACCATATTGATCTTTTGCATTTACATCCGCTCCCCAAGTAACTAAAGCTTCAATAATATCATAAGATCTCGCTGCTTTTCCAACTGCAGCATGTAATGCAGATCTTCGATCATAATCCACTATATTTGCGTCAGCACCTTTTCTCAAAAGCATTTCAACGCAGTCATAAGCTTGAGCTCTTGCTGCTAAATGAAGTGGTGTTTGTCCCCGATGATTTTGTGAATTAGTATCAGCTCCTTTTTCTAAAAGAATTTCTATGCATTCTGTGTATCCACCTTCAGCAGCTAAATGTAACGCGGTTTGTTCTCTTTCTTTCGTTTTAGCGTTAACATTAACATTTTTTGGATCTAACATAATTCTTAAACATTGCGCATGTCCTAAATCGGCTGCTAAATGAACGGGTGAAATCCCAGCATATTCCACTTGCCCAACATCAGCTCCTTCAACTATAAATAATCGAACACAAGCGATTGCGTTTGCTCGAACAGCGCAATGTAAAACACTTTCTTGACAATTATTAGGATTTGAAGTTAAAGTTCCAACTCTAGCGGAATTGTTTAATAAAACCATTGCGGTTTCCGGAGAATCTCCGAATGCAGCACAATGTAACGGAGTGTAACATTTAAAACAAGCGTTTACATCCGATCCTAAAGCGATTAAAAATTGAGTTCCAGGTATACAGCCGCTAAATGCGGCTAAATGAAGAGCACTTAATCCTTGGTTTGGTTCATAATATTGTAATTGTGCCCCCAAATCCAACAAACCTTGTAAAATATCCCAACGTTTCAAAAAAGCAGCCCATAAAAATGCCGTGTTTATCTCAAATTTTGACGCACCCAACATTTGTGCGTTTAAATTTTCCGAAACCGTTTTCTTACTCTCAATATCATCCAAAAATTGATGTCGCCCCGAAAACGATTTCATATGTTCTAACAAATTCATTTTGATAGTGTCGTGACAAATTTGCACGGTCAGTTCGTGGTTTGAGGAAAATTCTTCGAAACTTTCGTAAATATTTGGGGTATGATCCGATGGCGGGGATGGACCACATTCCATATAAACGATATCTTCGGAAGGATATTCTTCTTCGAGCATTTCTTGAGGATCTCCTCGGTACCTTCTCCATCGTAAAATCGATGATGGTGGTGTGTGGTATAAAGGAAAACTCTCGGCTTCTACATTAACCGAAACTGATCGTCCGAATTTCGGAGGTTGCGTTACGTCTTGAAATCCGAGATTCTCCATTGCTATTGAACGAGATTCTTCTGTTGCACAAACCATTTATCTACAATAAATAAATAATAAGGTTATTATTAAATAAACAAACTAAAAAAATATTTTAAATACCGGTTAAATTATGTTGAATATTATTAGAATTTAAAAAGAACGATTAATATAATATATTATACAATATTATTATTGCAAAATATCTAAAAGCCTATAAACGAAAATGTTAAAAGTGAAAACGCGTTTCTAATCGAACACAAACCAGATTTTAACCGAGAATATGATGCAATGACAATGTTGGATCATTTACGTAGGGATCTAACATAAATTCATTCTTGTTCATTTAAATTATTAATGTGTTGCTCTTTTATATTGAGGTCATTCTCGACAAGAAATAGTGACGTTTTAAAATTTTAATCACAAAACTTTTCCCAGTAATTATAAAACTTACTTAAAGGAGACTAAAATAATAATTTAGTAATGTAGATAATGAATCATTGATTTTTGACCAACACTATTTCAAAAACAGTAATTGGTAATTTCTATCATAATCAACCAAATCGTTAATTATCAAATTTCTATAAATTTTTATATTTTACTTAAGAAATTAAAATGAGGCATTGATAAATCTTATCTTCGGACTAATATTTACAGGTGCAATAACGTCAGACAATGTTAAGAAAAAAGATAAGAAATTTCGCGATGTCTAACATTTTATTTATGAAAATTTATGCCACGGATTTGAAACTTAAAAATTAATACGTCATACTTTATTCGAAATTAATTACTAAATTACTCGTTCAACCTCGAGATAAATATTAGTATGTAGATTTAAGTTAACATATTAATAGAAAAACATAAATTCCTAGTTACGCGCGACTGATCAGAACTAAACCGGATGTTATTACGGAGGAGGTCTTTTTCCGTTTGACGGTCGGAAAACTACTCAGATTTAGATCAGTATCTAAGAATAATTCTTGAAATTAATGGGCACCAATGTAGGAAATTACTATTGGAAAAAACGCCTTGTTGCGTGAAAAAGTAAACATCGGCAATGAAATAAGGAGAATCAGGGATTTTTTTAAAGTGGGATATAAATCTTTGCTTATGCAATTTAAAATAGGTTATTATTAAAGAATGGAAGAAACATGTCAAGCTAACATGTAATTTAAATCGACACTAATTAAAATCTTAATTGCGCCCATGTGTAGGATTTATTAAGAAAATTGTTTTAGGAATGCTTAATCACAATTTCGAGAGAATTTTAAGAAATATTATTTATGTTGAAAATTTGTGCAATTATTCACCAAATATACGAAAATAAATACTTAATTATCATTATTTTTTGCGTTTATAGTACACAAAATAAATTTAAAACATGTCTTCTTTTTAGTAGAAGTTAACTTTTGAACATTCATTACCAAAATTTTTCAATACTTTTGAAGTCGTGAGAAATAAGAACGCCTGCTGCATAACGGTAAACATCCGTAATGAAAGGATTTCCCATAATTGGGATACAAATCTTAGCTTATGCAATTTGAAAAAATTTCTTGTTAAGAAAAAAGCAGGAAACACGTGAAGCCAACATGTAATTTGACGATGTAACATAAGATTGTAAATGATATAACCGTTTACTACTTACTCTTATTACTGAAACTTAACATCTAACTCTACGTCACTATCAAACTCACTATTAATCTAATTCTAGTAAGACTGAATTAATGGTAATAAGATCAAATATTGTATTTACTGCAATTCTCGTTATGAAATCGCACCCTGTATAGCCTGATAAGATAATTCTTAGAAAATAATTTCAGAACGATTTAGCTATGTAAGTAGATATGAAAGTTGAGATTGAAGGAAATGATACGTTTCGATAATTAAGTATAATATCTAGAATAAGTTCTACATAAAGTACTTTTGGGCAGATGCACGCGGAAAAGTAAAAAGAATGGATTACATATGCGCAGTACAGAAGACCAATGTAAAAGTATGGAGCCAAACAGCGAAGTCAATGTTTTGACCATAATGTTTTATGTTCAAATTGTCATGAATCAAATTCAAAATGGCACCAAAGAAACCAAATTGGAGCTATCAGAACAATATTGGCCATAATATATTAATGGAAATCAGAATGATATTAATCAATGTGATTCATTGAGTGTTTGCCAAATACCTTAAATCAAGAAACAGGATTTTGCAAACGTGAAATGCCAAATTTGAACTTTCTACAATATCAATGGTGACTGGCGCGACTTAGCAGAAATTCTTGGAGCAGCAAGAAAAACAATGTTTGGGTGGATGACAAAATAAAATTACTCATTACGAAAAAAACTCCTAAAATCATGCTACAGTAGTTGAAAGAAACATTATAGCATTAGGGTCGACTTAATGTAAATAAATACAACAACTCGAGACTATCGAGGGAGTCTCATCTTTACGTCACAAAAGATTTGGCTTGAATCAGAGAAAGCTAATTCCGTTAAAGTAAAAATAAAAAGATGTCAAGGCCTAATAAATTTACTATAACTTGTTTTGAAACTTTAGACTTTTCTCTTTATTTTGGAGAACGTTTTTATGTTCTAACATTTTTCACTACAATATTACAATTTAATTGAATGAAATCAGTTCCTTAGAATTAAGTATGGCTTTTGAAGCTAGCAGTAATTCACAACAAGTTTCGCCTTTTAAAAAGCGCAAGACTTAGGACATTTAACTTTTTCAGAAAAGTAAATAATTTAAATCTTTACAAGCATTACATCATTAATGGCAAAAACTGTAAAAATTACTGTTGATAAGATTGTCGAACCTGCTGGTAAAGATAAATGTTTTAAAAATTATATTAAATCAAATAAGAATGCTTTGTTTGTAGGAGGGGTTGCAAAATCAACAGTTCACCGTGTGATTAAAGAATAATGGAAAGATTATGAGTCTGAGTCTGAAGCAAATAAAAGGGAGACCTGGATTTATTGCGAAGGTTGATACCTCAGACGATAATAATTTGGGTTTAACCAGGTTAGAATGGAGGTTAAGTGTAGGGCCAACGTTTTACGAGCACTCTTATGAATAGCTCAAAGAATTATACCAATTTTCCCAATTAAACCATTTTTCGGAATCAACCTAAGCAACGATATAAGGAAAGGAGATTGTATTTGAGATTTGGATCCTTGGACTATGTTGCGACTTGGCTTTATGACTAAAGTAGCTAAGAGTACAAGAGATACGTGATTGATGCAATTCAGGAGATATGATAGAAAAATAAAAGTACCATAAATAAAAGAGATTAGTCGCTATATTTCTTTGGAAACGAAGAAAGACAAGGAGAATATGACGTTAGATTCATAATAACCAAACGAATCCATGGATCAGTTTTGGAATCATCCAATATTTAGTAAACTATGTGGAAAAACTTTTTCGTTTTTTGCCTATAACTTCTTTATTTTTTATTTTTTGTGAATCTGAAAAAATATTCTTAAGGGAACCATTTATGAAAAATGTCATAACACAATTAGAAATTTTGTCCGACGTTTCGTTTTCGTGAAACTATCATCAGGTTTATTTTCTTTTTTGAATAATTCAATGTTTTTTTAAATGAAATACATTGTATGATATATCATTGAAATCAGAATTAATGATCCTACACCTTTTCGGTGTGAAAATCAAATATGGCGTTTATAAGAAAAAATAAACCTGATGATAGTTTCATGAAAACGAAACGTCGGAGAAAATTTCTAGTTGTGTCATGACATTTTCATGATCCAAAAACTTTGTTGAAAAATGATGAGCTTTAAGATACACAACTTTGCCCCCATTTCACCATTTCTGTATCTCTTATGGTTTCTGAGATCCCAATGGTGGGGGTCGAATTTGAATTACCCTGTATAGAGGAACGTGGCAGGTACTTGGAAAAAACAAGACCAAGCCAATAGACCATTAGTCTGTAAGAAATAGGCACTTCTATCCAAAACATCAGATCATACCGAGACCAAATAGTTCAGCAACTTTTAACATTTAATTAAGTAAGCATTATGTAATTTAGCAGTGTAGGTGTATAAATTAATATGTTATAGTTTAATCGAACTATATTCAAAATTTAGAGTTAATTAAGTTTTCAATAAATACTTAATTTTTTAAATGAAGGTAAAACTTCTCTGACTACATCAAATCTTAATTGTCACACATTAATAATCTTGTATTGAAGCGGAGATTCTTATAATGTAACAATATACAGGGTGTTGCATTTAAAAATTCTACAAGCACAACATTTTGGAAATTATTTGATCAAAACTTTAAATCTAGAACCGGAAGAAAACCAAGTTATTTGTATTAATTGTAAACGATTATTATATACTTTTTTGTACTCATAGCATCTAGATACCTATTTCCCGCACAGAGAGGACGTGCGGGAAACGCGTTTTCCCGCACAAATGCTTTTTGTTACCGCAACTAACAGGAATATTTAATGACCAAATGTGCATGTTTATAAAAAAGGTTAATAAGAACGTTTTATACATTCGTGTGCAGATAACACAGTTTTAAAATATTTAAAAAATCTATAAAAATCAATATTGACGTTTTGAATTTCGGTTGATTTTTTCCTGTCAAAAACCCCACATACAACTCATATCGTCACACAGGGACGTTTTATTCGTTACAAAAATATTGTACAATACTCATGCGGAAAGGATTTTTCCAGCATGCGCACGCAAATGCAGAACTCACTCCCTTCGGTCGTTCGTTCTGCAAACTAGCGTGCTTATGTGAATAGCGAGCCTTTCCGCATTTGTATCGTAAATAACTATTTGTACCATTAAAGTAAATTGGTAATTAATTATTCCCGTAATTTACAGTAGCTAGATCTTTTACAGTAATTCTGGGAACCATGAATCTTTGTATTTTTAATAATATGTCGAATCCTTATCACTAAATGAATCCACTTTCAATCTCAAACTTTTATTTTGTGAAATTTTTAAAATCGCTATTTTTATAAAACAACAATTTGCCTCTAAAGTTACTTTAAACGTTTTTCACAGGATTTCATTGTGCCATCTATACCTG